ATAAGGATGTTGTGGTGGGACTGATGCAGAACCGGTAGCACCTTCTCTCCGTCCATGCGTCGGAGGACGATGATACTGAGACGGTTGACGTCTTTCTCGACGCCTAAGAATGCTAACCCCTCGTGCTTCTGGCGAAAGTAGAAACGACTTCCCATTTTCATTAAACCAATCCATATAGTTATCCGTAATCATATGACCAGTTTCAGCGTAATATTCTCGAGGGGCCAACTGTGCATACCGGTTCTCCCAAAGTGCAATCCAATCTCTGTGTCTCACCACCCAGTTAACATCTTTCTTTCCTCGTCTATCTATGTTATGAACGTTGTCTAAATTCCTATGTGCTCCAGGAATATATTGCGAACAACCATATTGATGGAGCACGCGATCAACTGGATGCCACTCAATAATAGCATAAAATATAAGAGGTATAACCGATATCCAAACCTCTAATGACCTATCAAGGTGGGGTGGGATGCAAGTCTTCACTTCATCGCTCGCATAAGGTATCCATTGAAACTGAAATATAAATATACAAATCAAATAAATAAAATATTCTAATTATATCTAGCATTTTAAATTAAAATATTAATATTTAAACAGGTGTAAAAACATACCTCAGACCCATCTTTTGTATCAATAAGTAGACGAAATTCCTCTAACCCAATAGGTATACTACTATGGTTCTTTCTTTTCATCGACCACCTATGAAATATAATATAAACTAAATATCACCCTATTTAATTAAAAATATTTAAATCAAAATTTAGTTCGATAATTACCTCAACAATAAGGGGAATACGTATGGTTCATTCAAGATCGGGCATAAGAAAGGCATGCGGAACCACGCCCATGATTGCAGAAGCAGGAGACATCCACCGATAACAGTTTTCTTATAATTCGTCGCCCGACACATTTCTCTAAAGAGAAATGCCAAAACTGCAGCGCCCCAACTATATCTTCCAGCTTCATCAAAATCGATCAAATGCCGCAACCACATACAATGCACCTGGTTGTGAGATTTGTCGGGCATCAATATTCCTCCAATTATTCGTAGAATATATGCCCGAGCACATGCCTTTGCTTGATCATCTGAAGTATTTTCATTTAAAACCTCAAAATTAGCTTTCAACCAAGATAAAACTATTCTACCTCCATTAAACTCTGGCGGAGCAGCTCCAAGATAATCAATGCACATTGACTGCCAATCACCATCCGCCATATCACACATCATATTTACGTCAACTGGAAGCCCCAGATGCATAGAGACATCCTCCAATGTAATTGTAGCCTCTCCACATGGTAGGTGAAAAGTGTGTGTCTCGGGCCTCCACCTCTTAATCAATGCAGAAATTAGGACATGTTCGAGTTTGCAACCGCCAATGATTGTTGCAATATATCCGAACCCGGCAGAAGCCAAAAATGGCAAAATACGTTCCGGTGTCGGTATACGTGGATTTTTAATAAATGTCTCTAAAATACGATCAGTATCCTAAACAATATGTATTATAAAAAATTAAAAATAATATAAATTCATAATAAATTTAAATTAAACATAACAATAAATATTAACATTAATTATAAAAAAATATTACCATATCGCTAAAATGTCTGGAGATATGGTCAGCATCCAATCGCAGTAGCATTTCACTTTCCATTATAACTGTAGACAAAAAATAATAATTAGCACAAAAAATAATTAACTAATAAATTTAAATAAATAATAATTATATAAATATTATTTTAATAAAAAATAATATTTATATAATTATATTAATATAAAAATATAATAACTATTTAAAAAATAACTGAAAAATAAATTTCTTACCACTAATAAGAAATATAAAACTCAAAGATTTAGAGAATTTAAGTTATATAAGAAAGGAGAAGAAGATTTTGGTGTAAAGAATGAGGGGGGTTGAGAGGGTTTATATAGGGGAGGAGGAGGGGTAATTGGAGAAAAATCCGATGGGCATTTAAGACATTTAATGAAAGGCGCGTCCTTGAGGATGCGCCTTTCACACGTGGTAACTGAATCAACAAATAAAGGTGAAGCGCGTCCCCGGGGATGCGCCTTTCACACGTGGCATCCACTTCAGCGTAAAACCAGGTAAAGCGCGTCCCCGAGGATGCGCCTTTCGCCACCTCAGCCGAAAGGATGCCACTTCGAGAAATATAGAACAAACGGTACTAAAAAGAGAAATATTTGATTAAAGGGTGTCAGTTTGGTCAAATCGCCTTTGCTGGCATGAGTAAAGTAAGGGATAAAGTTTTGGTTGGGAAGACTAAAAGCAACGTGTTTGATGTTTTTTTTAAATGGGTAGGAGATTGTTGGAACTTGAGAGGCCTATTGACGAGGTCGATGAACACAAAGAAGTTGTTGTGTTGGGGATGATTAGTTCGGTGATGAGATTCTGTACAAAGTTCTATGAATTGGGTTCTTTAGTGGATTGCTTTCAGGGTAATAGAAAAGTTCTGTTAGGATTACATGAGGAATTCTCGAAGTTGGAGAAGGATTTAGCTTCATCGGGTGTTCATATTTCGACTCCTGAGTGCAAAGAATGGGATGAAGAAGATGAGGTGCCTGACTTGATACCTATTGCTAGTTAGACGGAAGTGGATAGCTCCAATGGTGCTTTGGAGCCGGTCGAATTTAATGTTAATGGTTCTGTCAAGAAAGCTTCAAAGAAGAGCAAGAAGGCGAAGAAGGTGACTGTGGGCAGTGATAAAAAGACTAAGAAAAACAAGGATGCTGAATGTAGCTCCGGCGACCAGGAGAATGTTGTTACAGTACCTGCAGAAAGTGCTGGTTCAAATAACAAAACGGTGATTGGGATTCAATAACATTTACCGAACCCGTGATTGCAAACCTTCAGCTCCAGTTTGAAAAGGTTGCTACTGAAGTAGGCTTGGATGATGATGTTGCAAGTGCCTGCGTTTTGCCGAAAGTCAATGGTGCCTTCTCCAAGAAGAGAAAGAGAAAGAAATATGGATGGAAAAAAATCTCAGAATGGGGAGCAAACCAATCAAGAGGATGGTGAAGTGGATGAAACTGGAAAACCTTGTGAGAAGAGCACAAAGTGGGTAAGATTTTCAATGAACAACAACTTTGGTTTGGAAGCCACACAGCCCTTTACCGCCACTAAGCTTGAGAATACCACCTTCTGTTACTCCGAGAGGAAGTGCGCTTAAGGAAGGAATTCCTCCAGGCCCTATAAGGGAAATGCCTCTTATGACGAACAAAGCTAAACCTGTGAAAAAGGTCCGAAAAGTAAAAAAGAACATGCATCCTCCAGTCAAACGCACGAAGAAGTTGAAATCTAAGCCCTCCAAGTGAGGTCGGCTTTATCATCTTGTTCTTTTAGGGAAAAGTATTTACATGCTCCGCTACGAAGAAGGTAATTGTCGTTTAGTTTGTTTTTACAGTTCTTAGACTTTTCATCACATATATAGACAAAAGTTTTCATCACATAGTGCTTATTCATTCTCATTGATACAAATCTGGTGGCAATTGTTAGCTTTGAGTGATGAAAAACAAAACAATTTGAAAGTTTATTGACTAAATTAAAATTTATAAAATTTAGTGATCAAAATTGAAATACAATCAAAAGTTGAGTGATGAACTTTATAGTCTACCCAAGTAATAATAATCATAAACACGGTGAAAAAGAAATGGGCAAAGTACGAAAATGATTACTAAACTAGATTGAAATAATTTTTTATTATTGAAGTTTTAAAAATTACAAAATCATTGCATGAAACAAGTGACGTGCGGGAAAAAAAAGTGTTGTTATTCTTTTAAGTTATGAATTCGAGCACTAAAAATATTAGAGGTACGAGCGTTTAATGTTAAATAATTTATAATTATCTTTCAATAGATATTATCTTATATTTACCCGTATTGATAAAAAAATTACAAAATCATTGAACTTTATAATCAGCTACAAAATGATAATTGAATTTTATGAAATTAATACAAAATATCTATTAAGATTAACTAATTATTATAAAATGTTTTTAAATCGTCTATAAAAATTTATCACTATTTTATGAGATGGTGTAGAGGTGTTTATTGAGCTAGTCGATCACGATTTGTGTAATGCTCGATTCGTACCTGTTAAGAAAATTTTTTGTTCGACTCGTTGCTCGTTAAGCTAGTTGCTTGCCTCGTTGTTAGTTAAGCTTACTGAAATTTTTATCTTATTTTCTTAACTATTAGTAAAATCTACTAATACTATATAGAACTTAATATAAACATAAATTAATAAATTTAACAAAAAAATTTATCAAAAGAGTGTATGAAGTGATTTCAAAGTCTAAACTCCAAAACAGTAATCCACAAATACAATAAAATAATAAATAAGGTTTGATTTTTTAGTGTAGCCAAATATTAATTAATAATTTATTTTTTTTTGTTGTTTATTAGAAAATTGATAGATTAGTAAAATATTAATTAATAATTTATTTTTTTGTTTATTAGCAATTTATAATTTTTTTATTATTTATTAGTAAATTAGTAATTTTTAATGAAATAATTTTTGAAGATAACTATTAAAAAATTATATAAAAATTTAACAAGTTGCTTGCGAACTTATCGAGTCAATTTAGACTTTGTTCGACTCAACTCATTAAGGTCTCGATTCGAGTTTGAGTTCGAGTCGAGCTTTTAGCGAGCTTTGACCGAGTCAAGTTCGAGCTACTCACGAGTTGCTCAACTCATTAAGTGCCCCTAAGATGGAACGATCATTTTATAATAATTTGATAATTTTAATAATAATATTGTATCTTTTAAAACTTTAGTGTCCAAAAAGATAATTTCAATATAGTTTAGTGACCATTTTGTGTACTTTACCTAAAAAGAAATTTAATTGTACAATTCCCAATAAGCCAGCGATTCACAGCCCTTAATGAGGCCCAACTTGTTAGCCCAGAAATTGTAAATAATTCCCACCCTCATTTTTAACCCTTTCTTCTTCGAAACAGATTGCAGCCTTTTCACCTGTTTCATTACTCGTCAAATACAAGATTATAATGCTCTGCTTCTTTAGGGTTTTTGTTTTTACTTATTTATGATTATGGGGTCCTTCTCCAATTGGGAATTTCGGGACTCTGCTGTATTTGGGAGTTCTAGGGTTTCCACTCTCTTGTGGTTTAGGGTTAGGGTTTCTACTGCTCTCACTGCAATAAGGGTTTCTCCTTTGCAAAAAAAGTAATGTAATTCGTGCTTTGTTGCATTCGGGAAATTTTATCATTTGTTATTTGTTTCAGTATCTAGGGATTTGGGGACTAGGGCTTTAGCTTAGCATGGAGTCTGATAAAGGCAAACTGTTTGTGGGAGGGATATCTCGGGAGACAAGTGAAGCTATTCTCATGGATCATTTCGGCAAATACGGTACCGTATTGAGCTCAGTTGTAGCTAAAGACAGGAACACGAAAAGCCCTCGTGGATTCGCCTTTGTTATGTTCTCTGAATCTTCCTCAGCTGATAAAGCTCTTCAAGACACCCATGTTATCCTAGGGAGAACGGTCAGTTCCAAACTCTCTTGTATCGCACCTTCATTTTATACTCTGTTTTCTCACTGTTAGACATTGATGAATTGTATTTAGAATGAAGTTTAAGGTTTTAAATTTGTTTGTGGAAATGATAGCTTGCAGGTATTTTAGGTTGTTTAATGCATATGATTTATGAATGGGATTTCTAGGTAGAAGTGAAAAAAGCGATACCCCGAAGCGATCAACTCCAGAACCAACAACAGAATGGTGGGTTCTGTATGAATGGTAATGGTAATGATGCTGCTGACAGTAACTTTAGGACTAAGAAACTTTTTGTAGGGGGTTTGTCTGCTACTTTAACCGAGGAAGAGTTTAGGAATTATTTCCAAAGATTTGGTAGGATAACAGATGTTGTTGTGATGCATGACAGTTTGACTAACCGGCCTAGGGGATTCGGGTTTGTTACTTTTGACTCAGAGGAGTCTGTGGAGAACGTAATGCAGAAGAATTTTCATGAGTTGAATAATAGGCTCGTGGAAGTCAAGCGTGCAGTTCCAAAAGAGGGAAGTAATGGTAGTTACAGTAATCAAAACATGAAGCCTGGTGCTGTAAGGGGGTCTCCTTATAATGGTTTTCAGGCTGTTGAGTTCACTTCAAATGGTTCTGGATATGGAATGTTTCCTGGCTATGCTCCTCCTCCCGCCTGTAATCCGGTTGGGGATTATTTATATGGTACAGCCACAGGTGTTTATGGCTCTGGGTACCCTATGGTAGGCTACAGTAGGGTTGCTTATGGTGTCACTCAAGCTACTCCTAGAGGCCCTTTATATGCCCCTGTAATGCTAGGACCTAGAGTTTACCCGCTGCCTTACGGCAGTCCATCCGTCTATCCTGCTTATATGAACAGCGGGGTTGGTCTCATGGGTGCAGCAGCAGGTGGGTTCAATGGGTTTATGAAAACCGGAGTTGATGGGAAATGGAAAGGTGACAATGTTGATCAGCCTGCACATGACATTCAACCTCAGACTGAAGCAATAAACGGCGGTACTGATTGTTCTGGTTTAAAAGAGCATAGCGTTGGTGCTGCTGCCGAACAGGATCCGAAAAGTGTTGATGGAAAACTTAAGCCTTCACGTATTGAAGTTTCTAGATGATTGGTTGACTCTGTTTAGGCTTCAAGGAGTTAGTAAATTCTTTAACTGACCGGCTTAGGGAAATTTAATCATGGAATGTTCAGTTCAGTGTCCCATTTAGGCATAATCTGTGTCATAAACATGCTGCATGTACCTTCTTTAGTGCTATCATTTGTCAGTACAGAATTCGACATTATGTAACATAATTGCATCTGGATCCCACTTCTATTGTGCATTTCACGGCTCTGTCTGGTAGTGTTAATAATGAAACAATGACTTTTAGACGATTCTGGGTTTCCATTGGTGTTGTTAAAAGTTGTTTATGCATAGAAATTCCAGGAGAAATAACACTATGGTAAGGTCTTTTAGTGTTTGCTTTGAGGGTTGTTTATTCTGGGAAACTAATGCTAAATTCTTTTTTCTTCTCAACTATCTGATGGACTCTGAAATGGTTTTTGATTGGATTTTAATGCATGACTTTACCACTTAATTTTATTTGACTGGTAATATGTAAGTTGTGGCATGCCTTGACGGGATAACTCTTTTCCTTCAAGTTTATATAACCAAAGCATCTCGTGAGTGACCTATAAATATCATTGTTAGCCTTCTAGACTTGTGGTATACCCTAGTAGGACTTAACTTTTTTTATGACAAAAATCGTAAATTACATTTTTAATAATTAAAATATGAGATTGATAGTATCACTCACATACCGATACGGGTGATCCGATCCGATTCGATGTGTCACATTAGGGCCACCGGAGCGGTCCATCATAAAAATCTCAGAAAATTAAAATTTATATTAAAGTGTGTAATATCATAAAACAATTTACATATTAAAAATAGAATTTAACAATATCCAAAAATAAAATAGATTTTCATACTCAGATATAAAAACAGGGTATAACCTACATGTCCTTTAATCACATACATCGTACTCCGCAAGCAACGTCGATGGAACTCCTTTACTGAAGTCGATAACTGCATTTGTTTGATTCTTTTAACTTGAAATGGTGAGTAAAAGAGTGAGTTTTGGGAAGCTCAGTAATACAGAACTACCAAGTGATATTGAAGGACATGAAGATAATAGGCAAACATAAAAAATTCCTTATCTATTTAGAAGTTTACAGGTTTTCGGGATAAGCTGAGGTTCCACTTATATTTTTTAGAGTAAAAGCCATGAAGATTTCAGTTCATACAAAATATTCAGATGACCGAGTTTTCAGGATATCAGAAAAGGATGTCTAGTGCGTTCCAACCATATACTAGTGAAAAGGGTACATATTTTTAAAACTATAATAATTTAAAACATATTTTTAAAACTATAGTAAAACCCAGGAACACCTTTATGCAATTTCCCCAGAATTGCATCCATAAGGATTTACCCTAAGCACACAGAATAAAAGCCACCCTAAGGGAGTGTCTTGGGGCTTGAAAGCCTACCCAAGAAAGTTTCTCGGGGCCTCGAAGCCTACCCAAGGGTCATCTTAGGTCTGTAAAGAATTACCAGCTCGATCGGTTTGAACCTATATGAGGAATTACCAATTTAGTCAAGTTGAACCTGCATACTCCAGCCTACCCATACAGTACTCAGTAGAAATCAGATTGAGCAGTAACTTTAATATCAAAATAATGATCCAGTAGTATATAGTAAATATATGATCATGTAATTATTTAAATCACATAAATGCCCTCCACCAATACACCATATGCAATCCCATGATTTACCTAATGGAATGCCTTAGGGCCTAAGAGCCTACCCAAGAAAGTTAATCGGGGCCTCGAAGCCTACCCAAGGATCACCTTAGGCCTGTAAGGAATTACCAGCTTGATCAGTCTAAACCTATATAAGGAATTACCGATTTGACCGAGTTGATCCTCCAAAATACAATATCCTAACCAATAGATTCCATGATCCATAAATCAGGAATGATCATATTTTATAGTGAAAATAGGTAACCAGATAACATATTTCAAGTAACCATAGCTCATGAACCAATAGATCACTAAATCAGTGATTTCGAAAAATCACGTTTTAAAACAAGTAAAACATTTACAAGTCACATAATGAACACACTAGAGGATCCATATATTATTCGGAGATACTTGGTATTTATCATGTAGATGACCATGATACTTTTGTAATTTAATAGTGTAGATGCTCGTTTTTATCCGGGGCCTAGTCGAAGCAGACTCGAAACAATCACAACCTAACCCGACCTTGAACCAGTTCCAGGCCCAATTCAAGCCCAATGGACGACAATTGATTACAGAGGAAAACATAGAGGTTAATGTTGGTTTTTAGCAGTTTTTTTTATATATACAGAGGGGATTAACGACTGGAAACGGGGGGACACAAGAGAGGAGAAGCACGAAAGATTTTTTTTCTTTCTTTGTTTTTCATTCGTTTTACACAGCAGAGCAACAGATAAAATAGGGTGTAAACAACATTTTTTTCAGTATTCAAAGATCAAGAAGTAGTATAACAGGGGTCTTCCCTATCTCTTTCGAAGGCAATATAAGCAATCCATAAGCAGGTTACTTTCGTTACTTTCTTTATTTTTCAAAATACTCAGCAATGTTATACGTGGCTTGTGGTTTTTCTTTCAAATCATAAAAAAATAGCAGAGAAAAGAATTAGAAAATTACCTTAGATGTGGATGGCGGTAGATTTGGTAGTTACATCCTAGTCGGTCGGGGTTAAATTGATGGAGATAAAGATTAGGGTTAGTGTTATGAAACCATGTAAGTCTGAGATTAAAACGACGATCAGTAAAATAAATTAGAGGAAGGAGAAGGTTTTGAGTTCTTACCGGAGTTGGGAATTTGGTCTTGTTAGATCGCCGGAGAAGTAGAGTCTCGCCGTAGTAGGTCGCCGAAGATAGAAGTAAACGAAAGGTCGAGGGTCATTCACGGTGTTTAGTGGGCGGTTTAGTGAGATTTAGCTTCGGGTTTATAGTCTAGAGGGTAAACCGATGCGTTAAGGTTGGTTTGGCCTTTGTGGTTCTTCCACAGGCGAGGAAAATGGTGAAGGAGAGAGTTGAAAAAGAGAGTGGATAGTGAAGCTGGCGGCAGGGGCTTCTTGCGTGTAAATCTACTTAGGTTTAGTTTTATTTAGCTTTTATATTAAGATATTTGGGTTAATTAGTGTTTAGCCATTAATATTTTAGGATGAAACTATTATTTGGTCCATGTGTTGATTTTTTTTAGCTTCTGATTCCACCATTAATTTTTGTGAGTATTTAATTTTAGCCCCTTGAATCTAATTGTTTTGAATTTTCATTTTTTATACATTTATGATATTTATTTTGAGAATTACATTTTAGTCTAATATGAGATTAGGGATTTATTTTAATTTCAGTACATGGAATGTGATAGTTTATATATTTGGACTTGATTTATATTAAATTTATGATTTTAATTTCAAAGTTATGTATCCATTTATTTTTTTCCTTAGGTTATTATTATTATTATTATTATTTTATCATGATAATATATGTATAAGGGTATTATGAAAAAATAGTGTTTAATTAAATAGATTTTACATGGATTTTAATAAATTATAATTATATTAAGTAATTTTTGTTAATAATTAAGTAATTTGTAACATATGTATATATATATTTATTAATGGTTTTTTTTAAAAAAATTCTTTAAATAAATTAACCTTACGGATATTAGCATTGCTTTTAAAAAGTCATTAGAATATTAAATTTTATTGGTTTTTAATATATTTAATGTATTAAATATTATTTTCTATAATTACATTTGTTTTGTTTACTTATATCATTTTATTAATTAGTGGTATTGTAATTTGCATGCTAACCTCATTTGCATAACTCGACTTATTACATAATCGGACTAAGGGTAATACCCTTTTAATTTAAAATTGTCTTGAGTGGTCTGTCTTAACTGATTAGAGGACCGTTTTGATGATTTTAAATTAAAAGTGTATCCCGAAAGTGAAACAAAAAAAATTGAACCGTCACTTAAAATTTGGGAACGAAAGAAAAGGAAGTGTTCGTTTATTTAAATTTATCGAGAAAAGGTTGTTATAGCTTTTAAGATCTGGTCTCGATATTTGTAAATAATCGAACACTCTTTATCTTTCTAAAACGACTCGGTAATTTTAATCTAATTTATTTGAGTGTTGTTGAATGTTTTAAATTTACATCATTGTTTTATGGGATCAAAAATCAAATTAAATTCGAATTTGTAAAGTTCATTGTAAAGACATTAATTAATCGACTAGGTACCGATTTAGGGCGTTGTGGGGGTGCTAATCCTTCCCCACACGTAATCGACTCCCGAACTCAGATTTTGGTAATGCAGACCTCAATTTGTGGTTTTAATTAAAATCAATTTTTATTTAAAATGACAGAATTTTTTTGGGTGCCCAATCACACCCTAATTAAAGATTGGTGGCGACTCTTCGAACCATATTTTTCGATCGTAAAGGAAATCCAATATTTTTCGAAACGAAAGGTTTTTAAATCACATTTGTTTTTAAATTAAAAATCAATTGAAAGAGATAAATTAAAAATTAATGTGGTTTTCAAAATCTCACATTTTCTCACTTTTAAGAAAAAAATCGTTTCGACAGCTTGGCGACTCTGCTGGGGACCTTTTTTTTAGAGAGTCAGGCCGATAGTCGATTAATTAATTGTCTTTGCAATTGAAAATTACAAATTCGTTTTAATTTGATTTTTGATCCCTTGTTTGGTTTTTAATAAGTTTTGTTTGTGTTTTGATTTTTTTTAATTTAATTTGATTGACAATTAAATAGTTGTACTGATCTGTTTGCTAATGATTTCAGAATAATTGTGTGTTTTGGGAATTGATTTTGAGTGTTTTTATTAATTGTTTTTTTGCTTTTCCTCACACACTGCACAGCTGCATTATCATAACATGAGCTAAAACCCCGCTCCGTCCTAATTAAGTAGGAGTGAGAGACTATGCCCTCGTGTGGTTTTCACCTCCGCATGGGATAGTGGATCGCTCCTGGAGCTCACGCCTTATGGTCCTCGTGATGGTATTCACCTCCGCATAGACATAAGGAGGTGTGTTCCCTCGAAATTGAACTCGATCCCCTAAAGCCTGTGATGGGCCAGGATTGAGGGTTCGGCAGCCCAAAGGGGCACCGACAAAGACAATTCGAGAACCTATTACTTTAGAACCTAACCCGGCATATAGTGAACATAGAGTCTGAACTTAGGTTGAACCAAACCCGAACCTTAAGAATCCCGTGAGGAGGGTACACAAGGAAAAGTTTTTTTTTTGAG